CTTGAAATGAACTCTGGACCTTTTATCTGCTCATTGTAATTGGGATAATGAGGGAATACCACACACCTGGCCATGGAACAGCTGAGAAGCCAACTGTCCCATTACTTTTGGTCCCTTAACAAGTGGGAGGCACATATGCAAACTGTAGTAATTCCTTCACCGTTCACCTGATTTGGATGTAAATACCTCAAATAAAAGCGGACAGTCTGCAGTTAAAGCATGTCTTGTTCGTTTCATTTGATATCCATTGTGGTGGTGTATAGAGCCAAAAATGTTAGCATTGTGTTGATGTCCCAATATTTATGGACCTGACTGTATATAATAAATTATATATTTTAAAATTAAATTAGGGCATGATGTAAGATGATACTAATGTAAAAAAATAATATTTAAAGCAAGGCAATAATGGTAGTGCAGGTTTATTAGATAATGATACCAAAATGTGCTTGACCAAGTGTAGGTGAAAGGGTTAACACAGAGCCTCACGAAATACTAGAAAAAAAATGCAAGCTAAATCTTGGCATTTTTACTGCTATGTGAAGAGTCACAGAATATGGTGCTGTATGATCATGTAAACACCACAATGACCAAAAGAAGGAGGAAACTATCCTCTTGCATCAGAAAGAATTGGCGTGTTTCTAGCTTTTTCCGTTCTTTGACAATCCGTTGCCAAAGTGTGAGCTGCAGAAGCCTTTCCGGTTAGCACCTTGCTTTTTTTTTTATAGCGGCATCCCAAAACAATCTCCTAATGCATGGATTGTCTGCTTCCTGATCACGTGACGTGTGACACACACGGGTGAAGATCAACTTCAGAGCCGTGATGTTTTACTCTCACCGTGCGCGAGCTCATTCCCAAGACCGCCCCGTTTAAAAATGTAAATGACGACTTTAGGACTTCCTTGTCCTTGAGAAAGGTCGCCAACCTGCATCAACTGAGGCGCGTCCTTGAATGCTCGAGCATGTTCTGTACGTAAGCGGTAGTCTAACACTATTGGATAGTGCTGACTGGCGGTCTATGAGACAGCGGACGGGCTTAGAAAAAAAAAGACATATTTTCTACATTATATCACAGTACAGGATAAGACAACATCTTTTACGGATTTCTGAAAAATCACACATAATTCCTGAAAGGAGAAAACTCCGGACAGCAGCTTTAAATCTTTGCCACGAGAAGTTGGGAGAAATCTAATTTTTTTCTATGAAATTTCTTCTTGGGTTATTAATCATTACCCGTCTTTTAATCCACAGTTAATCTTACTAATTTTGTCTGTTTTTTAGAGGACGACCTTATTTTGCTGCCTTGTATTGTGACGTGGATAGTGACAATTCAGCTTCTCCCCGTCAGAAACTCAGCTCAGTCAGGTTAAAGGAGGGTCAGCATGCTTGTTTCTTTTGAAAAATTCACCAGGCCAGTGAGTTGCACGCTGAGATGCAGGCAGATGACAGCCCACATAGCGTTGTTATGATGACAACAGAGCTGAGGTAATGCTCACTCTCACTTGTTTTCCGTAGCAGCTGAACCTTGCTCAAGATCAGGAGCGGATGAAGCCTAACCCACAGAAAACTGTGGTATTTAGAGACAAACTTGCATATGCACGATAAATCTCATGTAAACAGAGACAGTGCTAACACCTGCACGCCTGAGCGTGGGAGCCAGGTTGTTCCAAATGTTGGTGATAAAATTATAGTAAACATCTATACACTCACAGATAACGGAAAGAGTTAGCTTTCAGTTTGCGAAATGCAAAAATGTTTGAGGCCTTAAAGCTTTCATTCACAATATTTTTATCATTAAATTTGCGCTCTAGTATGAATAAATGCCATTTTTGTTGTTTTCCGTGGAAGAAAAGCTCAGCAACTGTTCGGTTATGCTGTACTTTGATAGGATAAAACATTTTAATTTTATTAATGTCCATATGGACGCTGTTTGACACTGATCAGTGACATCACTCCCTGCCAAAGCAGTGGTGATAGGCTGACGTATGTATGGAGACAGAACAGCTGAGAGGACCAGGCCATCGTATCTCCCGGTCATCTTCCCCCTCCCAGACTTTACCAAATATAATCAAAAATAGGCCTTTGTTGCATAACTCACTAATATGTTGCAATAAAGTAAACACTATTATTAATGTGCTCTTTAAAAAAAAGATGTAAATATCAGAGATTTTTTCTAAAGCTACCCTACGGGGATTGCAAAGCTTTCAAAAGCTTCAGAAAGCATCTAGAACAGGACGATTCGATCCAGTGTCAATAAAGACTCATGTTTCAATACAACATGTGTGAAAATTACAAAAGGAACTATCATGCTATGTGTGCTACTTTAAAATTTGAACTGGTGTGTTAATCTGCTTGCACAGATCCGTTAATGGACCTCATAATGAACCGTTATAAGTCTGAACCATCACACAGCACTCACCAAGCAGACATCTGCTGTTACAGGAACCAGGAGGAATGCTGTGAAAACCTCTGAGTATTTCCTTAATTAAAGTTTTATATACATCAAAGTCAACCTCTGATCCGAATGAGAGAAAGTATTCTGCTGTGCATCCATCCACAGCACAACGCCCTGCGCGTACTGAAAGACAGTCCGTTTGTGCGTCAGAAGTGGTCTCCTTACATCCAGGTTTTATTTAAGTCAAACTTTTAACACGAATGCTTTCTCTTCATCAGGAAACACAAGATGTGCATAGTTACATGAGCTGCCAGAGCGAGTAAAACATAAGCGTTTCTCAGAAAATGTCAGTGGAAATTAAAGGTTACACTTAAACTTTTCTGAATGCCAGTGTTCAGTCGTGTGTCTGACTGTGCAGACAGCGGAGTGTGTGTGTGTGTGTGTGTGTGAGACCTGATGATGATCTACTCTATAAGTGATGCATTAATGTCTCTAATTTAATCAAACTGCTTTTCGAGAAACAGCGGCCTTGGAAATGATTAAGATATCAAGCAAACTCCTGAAACATTCCCGATTTGTGATTTTATGCTTTGGTTTTGAAACTTGATGGTTAAAAGCTGCTGGGGAAAAAAGGGCAAAGATAAGAGAAGTGAGCTCAGAAGAAAAGGTCAGAAATCCTTCCTCACGCAGAAGGACACAGTTTTCATTAGAGGAGCAAAGAAACAAGCTTCTTTCTCTCATAGCGAGGTGATTTGAGAGGGTATATTTGAAGGAAAAAAAATCAAGAAAATGCTTTTTTGAGTGGAATTAAGAAAAAGAAATGGCATGAACCAGATCTAGAGGACACAATTCAGCTTCTGGAGCATTTTTATTAAAACTAACAAGTGACTGAAACTATGGGCTTCAATACAGGAATCAATCAATCAATCAATCAATCAATCAATCAAAATGGGAATGCATTCAGAGGTCCTTCACCGAGAAACTATTTTTTAAATTATTATTTTTGAAAATGATGGGTAACTCTTATCCAGGCTGAACGTGTAAATAGTCTCCTACACCTATCTCCTGCATTAGCATCTGAACAGCCTGACAGATCTACGTCAACTAGGCTCACCCATCTTGACTCGCGACGGTGAAGACTGTTGTTGATTTAGCGTCCAGGAAACAGCAGAGAACGTCTCAATGAGTAGAAGCTAACTGTTAGCATTAGCAACCCCACCACATGGCAGAAGCTCCTCCAGGCTTGTTATTTGTGGAGATAAAACATCAGTATGTTGCTGTTAGCCTGATTGGCTAACTATTTGAAGTATAAAATTAGCTGCAAGTGTGTGCATGGTATAAAATGTTCTACTTATTCTTTTTCTTTTTTTCATATTTTTTTCTCTAACAACAAACTTTTTCATCAAGGGTCTGGTGCCTGAATACGTCCTCATGTCTCGCAGCCTGCGCTGGCGATCGCCTGCAACCCAAACCCAAACAAATCCCTTGAAATGTGGAAGAAAAACAGACTCTGCCAAACAGCTGCAAAACAGGATGCTCTTGAGAACAGGGCACTCCACCCAGAACGGCCTGAACAAACAAGTTGTGTCAGGGATCAGATGGGTGGAGCAGGGAGCAGCGACGGGCCGTGGGACTAAACACAGATCCGAGAGAAAGTTCAAGTTTTAAGCCTTTCGGGGTCACTTCCTGCTGGACTCGTTTAAAGACGTCAGGTTTAGCTAATTCTGAAGCAGGTTTTAGAAAAAGACAAGATTTTGGCTAAGCTAGCAGACAGAATAGATTTGTTTAAAATTTCAGATTTTATATTGAAGAAAAGCAATGGCTTATTTTTGGTGCAGATTCAGCACTCATTCTGTTTTAGTGTTTAATTAGTGGCATGTAAATATACTGGACCAGGTAGAATCTTTTTCTGGGCCTTTGCAGCATTTTTTTAAAGATGCTCCAAAATGCTCGAAAACCACAAGTTAAGGGTTTTGGAGATATGTGGGGGGCCAGGAGGAGGTCGGTAAGGGATTGCTCACATTGGGCTGAAAAGGAGATGGCATAAGACGGAGCAAAGGAGCCAGAAGAGAGCAGGAGGAGACAGTGGAAGCATGGGTCGGCCCCTGAGACATGTACTGAATGGATGTAGGATGACAGCACAAGCCCAATTAGTCTTGGATGCCAGGGCTGCTACAGGGAGGTCGGTGCGAGTGATCAAGCCATTCATGCATTCAAGCTTTCGCCCGCAGGCATTTTCTGCCGACAGCCTGGGTAAAGTTACTCTATCACTGTTTCTGCTGGACTCCTGATCACACTGCCACCCCCACCCCTCCATCCATCCCTTCCTTCCTTCCTCCATCCTGAAATGTGCTGCTCTCATCCATCTCTTTTCCCTCTCTAATTCTGCCTCACTTGTGTTGTTTCTCTCTCTCTCTCTCTCTCTCTCTCTCTCTCTCTCTCTCTCTCTCTCTCTCTCTCTCTCTCTCTCTCTCTCTCTCTCTCTCTCTCTCTCTCTCATATTCACACTCACTAACACACTTTCACTTCAGGACAATAGCACACTCCACAGTGCCACTCCTTTTGTCATCTACACTCTTGTTTGCATTCCCTGGAGCTTGCGCATTACCTCAGCCCACTCAGATGTAAAGGAGGGCATGCGCTGCATGGACGGCTGCCCGGACCTGCAGTTAGACACAGATCCGCTGTGGTTTGTCAGGCCTCCATCCTCCTCCCCGCTCGGCGGTGCCAATAAGTCGGAGTCTGACTTTGATAAGCTTCGAGTCAGGCCCAGGTCTGTGGGTCTCACTTTGACTGCTGCAGACGCCGCTGAAACGTTGCTCTGGTCCTGCATGTCATCTTTTGGATTGTGGATCACGTTGGAGGAGCCGGTATCCGGCATGCTCTCTGCCATAGTTCTGGAGCGGAAAAGTGCAGCTTGAGGCGTGAAGGCTGTCAGTCTCCTTACAATCCCAATAGAGGTCCAAAATGTTTCACGAGCTCTTAAACTTCTAGTGATACTGAAAGACACAAAAGAACGGTTGAATCTGAAAATATTTCTCCCCAAACCACTCAAACTTCTGCTGTTTTGAGAGAAAAACAGCATTTAAAGGAGATACTTGTACACAGAAACAATAACTAAGGTCCACCCACTAGTTGTATCCCGTTGCCCTCCCCTTTGTGGCTGGTTGCCTTCTACTTTCTCCTCTCAGCTTTCTCTGGCAGGTAAAATATCCTGCAGCCATGCAAATGCCAAGACAAAGGTGTCCAAGAGATTTTAGGATAAATTAAGAATGTTTAAATGGATAGAAACACACAAATGCACTAATAATAACCCAAGAAGCATAAACAATATACATTTACTGCTAGCAGAACAAAAAGAAGCACATTTTGCCATGACAGTGCTCACTTACCTGCAGACTTTTTAAGCTTTTCCTGTTTGCCGTGTCCGTCTTCTTCCGAGGTTGTTTCCCCATCTCCAGGAGGACTGGTTTTATCATGAAGTGAGGATCAGAGGACGAGAGGAACCCAAAGCTTGGCCTTATCCAGACTGACAGCTGGGGTAATCATGTTACTGATGCACTGGGTGGCTGCTCCATTTTAAACGAGGGAGAGTTGAGACTTCTCCCTTTTGCTGTCCTGATGTGTCCATCAACGTGTGTCTGCAAGAGGTCTCTGAAAAAATTGTCATATTACAGACATGGAAGAAATAGGAAACTTCTGAGAAACTAAGATGTTAATCTATTTTTTATCACTGCACATCCATCAGACAGCTTTTAAATAACAGTGAGCTGTTTCCTGCTCCTCCGCCCTGCTGGTTGAAAGTGGAAATACAAATGTCGTAAACAACCCTGCCACAGCCTGCTGTAGCTAGCTATCGCCAACAATGTGCTAACATGAGTCAACTAATAGCCTACTAAAATAAACCACATAGTAAAAAGATGCACATTGTTGGACAAGAAATATTATTTACAAGTCCAGTAGCAACAAAGCCAGGTCACCATCAGTCTGTGATTCTGTAGCCTCTTTTTACTTCCTCAAACTAGTGTAGGCAGCGATGATGTTCACTCTGATTTTAGTTCACCTAGAAAGACATTATTCTCTTACTTTTACTTCCAGGCTCCGCCATGGTGCCAACACAAAAAGTAAACTTCTTCTTTTTCTTCTTCTTGTGCTTCTTATTGAAAATCTGCAAATTGCCAAAAAGCATGTAAAGAGTGCCCTCTACAGGGCACCTACTTGCTCCACAAAACTGTTAGGTGCAGTATCTGGTCAGCAGAGAGGTGTTAAATATGAAACTGGTCAAGTTTCTAACTCAGCAATCACTGAGGTAAATGTTAAAGCTCTAGCTTACAGTTAAAAAAATTATAAAGTGTTACCGTGTCCTCTCGTTTTTTTAAATACACTCCCAGTGGTCTCTAGTGTCAACTAATATTCTGTGAGTCATTCTCTGTGGAGAAAAAGCTCTGGCACTCCTGTTTCAGGAAGTAGAGTTTAGCCATAGCAGAAGACAACAGGATTTGTAGTCTTATTTATTGATATTTGGACAACTCACCTCTGATTGGCCAACAGCAACGCAACTCTCCCACTGACTCTATTTGCTTTGCAACGTTGATGCTTTATCCCCACAAATATGGAGTTCTGCCATGTTGTGTAGTTGCTAATGCAAACATTAGCTTTAACTAGCCAAGACATGATCTGCTCTCTCCTGGATGCTAAACCAACAACAGTCTTCCAAGCTGCAAGCTAAAATGGTGAGCGCATGAAAGCTAATTTTCAGGGTGACACAGATCTGTGTCAATTTTCCAATCTGAGCATTTTTCTATCTATTTTCTATCAGAAGCTAATTCGGGAAATAGGGGCAGAAGACTATTTTCTCATTCAGCCTGCATGTGAAACTCACAATAATTTTTAAAAATTACAAAAAAGGGTTTCTCTGTGAACTCGGTCTTTGAAACTGGTCACATGGGTTGTGTGAAAAAGATACAGGTGTTGATGTGAAGGTTTGACACCCGTCATCTGCTCTAAAACCAGATTGTTGGGGAAGCCTGAAACCTCCAGGAAAATGATCCTCGAGAACCACCTAGGAGAGCTCAGGTTCCGATTGGAGACTCCAACTGAGTCAAACTGAGTGGATCTGCTGCAGAATTCCAAGCAGGTAGATTTAGAAAGCGATTCTCACAAAAATACAAAGATTAAAAAACATTATTGACTTTGTTTCACAAAGCACACGTTTATGAAAAACCATGGTCAAACCTGAAGTCAATCAGATTAAATCAGCCAATTAAAAACCAGTCAGTGAGTAGCATCACAACAACCCACATAGCAACAAATGTTCTTATTTAGCTCTATGAATTGGTGAGGAATACGGCACAGTGATTAAACACAATAAAAAACTAAAATGTGGTTATGGCATGGCAGGAATGAAGAAAGGAGCTCACACACTGTGAGATATTTATAATTTTCCTACATGTGAGCTGAAGCTGACAAAAGAGTCTCTTGTGAGACATCTTTAGTATTCACAGGCAACAGTTGTGCACAGAGCTCCGTGTGCCCTGTGCCCTCAATCAGCCAAGTTCCTTGCGGTGGTCATGGGTTGCTGCCTGGTGGCTGCAATGCCCCTGAGTAGACCTGGGGGCTCGGGGTGTGGGGTTGGCCAAACCCATGTGGGGATTTGGGCAGGGCCTTGGTTGGTTGGGTCCTGACATATGCTGCCGGGAAGAAGGCGTGAACATATGGCAGTGCCTGACCCGGGCTCAAGGGCCTCGGGTAGACCCTGGCTCCTCTGCTGTCCATCATGGGGGAGGGGGATGTCCAGGAGGGGGAGGACCCAACCATATCTGGGTGTCCTATGTCTTATATATTCTGGAAGCTGTGCAAATGCAGGGATGGGAGTAGATATTCTGCTGGGGTGGGGCTGCGTTGGTTCCCACTGCTTTGGGCCTTGGCAAGATGGGCTGGGGTATCCACGGCCTGGGTGGCACTTTGGCAACGGAGGTGCCTATTGGGGCCAGTGGGGGAGCTGGCTTCCTGGAGGGCTTAGGCCAACCAGCCATTCCTCCCCATCCCCACACATTTTTCTCCTCCTGCTCCCTCACATCATCACACAAACATGCACATAGGACTTTGGGGGGTAGACAAGTCAGAGGGTGCGGATATGGACCCCATTTCCATATTCCTGTGGCAGCCTGCCCCCCAATTTTATTTGCACATTAAACATTTCCACCAACGACATTCCACGCAAACACACACTTAGGGCCTTGGGAGTAAGCACATACAACGGCATTTGGCAGGGGGATCTTTCAGCCTCATCCCAGGTGCCGGTGCCCACTTCCAATTTTAAACTGCACTTAGACACTGAGGGCTGTGGGGGGAAGAGGGGTGGTGTGGTGGCATCTGCTGGCGTAGGCCAGACGATGCCTGCACTGCCCGCTCATCACAGCCACGAATACACCCCATCAACACACAACACTATATTGGAGCAGGCGGAGGGTGACTAGGGGTCTTAGCACACGTCTGTTGTTGCTTGGCTTCCCGGGGCTGGAGGCTAGGTGGGGGATCTGGCCGTCTGGCTGGGGTCTGGGTGGTGGGTCACTTTGCTCGGCATTGGGCGGGGGAGCCTGTTCATCCGCACCCCAGCAGAAAGGGTCGAACTCTGGGAACCGGTGATGGTTGTACCCTTTGTGCAGCAGTACCGGGACCAGAGTGAATAGGGTGTGTAGGGGAAGTATGAGTGGGTGTCTGGCGCGCATTTTTGTGAGTCTTAGGTTGTATGTGTATGTGTGAGCATGAGGGAGGGAGTGTGTGGCTGTGTTTGTGTATGACTGTATATGTCAGGTGGGGCCTTTGACTCCTCCCCTCTCCTGGGACTTCTTTTGCTGCTATACATCTTTGCCCCCCCCCCCCCCCCCCGGCAGGGCTGGTTGCCCCTGGGTTCTGGGTCGCTGGATTCCGGGCTCGGCCGGCTTGGGGGTGGGAGGCTGCGGGCGGGCCTGTGGGCTTGCCGCTGATATCCCCCAGAACTCTGCTGGCTGTGGCCCCTTGGGGCAATCCTCTGCGCCTCTCGAGGGGGGCAGGGGCTTTTCTGGTCGCAGTCTCCCTGGGGTCCCTGCGATCTGGAACAGCTCCTGAATCTCTGAGACTTGGAGCTCCTTCCATCTCCTACGCATCTTTGGGGGGCAGATCTGTGGTCCCTCACCGTCTCTACTGGACGTTCCTATAGAGAAACCTTACATATACAAGCGCTGGTACACACACAGGTGCTCACATGGTGCTCTCATAAGTATGGACTTGGGCACGTTCAGCACATGTCGGCTGTGGTTGGCACTTAATGCACTGTGATTTACTATCGTGTGATTGTTCATTAAATCAATGTTTATTTTATATTTCCTTTATCAGGTTGACGTAGTGATAGCTTGCCCCTGTTGTACTGTTGTGTGTCCCATTTCTTTTTATCTCTCCCTCTGCAGGTCTAGAAGATGACTCTTGTTCATCATTGATTGTTTTTGTGCCCCCCCCCTCCCCCCCCCCCCTCACACACACACACACACACACACACACACACACACACACACACACACACACACACACACACACCATTTGTCTCTTCCTCTCTCTTTCACTCTTTCACCTCTGTCTCCGTGTCTGGTCGGAATTACAAGCATTCAAAAAACAATAACAATAAAGTTTTAAGTATCAGGCGTGACCATAGACTGTACATATAGGCGTGACATTAAAAGCAGAAGCTTTGATGTTCCACCTGAGAGTAAATCTGTAAGGCCTGTCACCAGCATTCAGACATTAATTCTGCTTGCTTCACAGCCACACAGGACATTGGGGGTGGGGGTGGGGGGGAATAAATAAATAAAGATAAAAAAGCAAAGTTCCTTGCAGAACGTGTGTGTGTGTGCGTGTGTGTGTGTGTGTGTGTGTGTGTGTGTGTGTGTGTGTGTGTGTGTGTGTGTGTGTGTGTGTGTGCGTTTGTGCATGACATAAAAGATATCTTTTGCTCACCAAGGTTGGTGCATCCAGCCACAGACTGCTTAGGAAGGCGATAACAAAAGCCATATCTAATGATGCACGTTAAATTGCACATCTGATGATCTCCA